AAGCCTTCCCCATAACCCTTTTAGACCTGAACGATACGGGCGTGAGTTGTAACTTTAAAAAATTCTAAAACCGCACGCAATTCATTTTTACGCACGAAGCTGAAATAAAATGATAGTGAGATTCTAAACCAGCCAATAAGAAATAATTTTAGCGGTTAGGTGGAGCAGTAGTCTCGTGCGTGCCGGCAAGATGGCTTGGCTCCAAAACACGAAAATATATTTAATCTGAAAGAAAAAAAATCTTGGGTCTGAAAGGGTTAGGAGAAGTTTTATCAGTAGTTGCCAAGCTCGGTAGGCGAGTTGGCAATGGTAGTTAGCCTTTTACCGATGTTTCAAGAAGGACGCTGCTGCCTATCTCTCAATCATTAATTTCCCTTAGTCGTCTTTTACAGTATCCACGGGAAAGGAAGGTGTGGCTCATTCCATGCCGGAAACACAAGCCGAACTTACTTTTAACGCAGAATACTTTTTATCCTAATTCACGCAAGGAAAGCTACATGATGCAGTTAGTTAATTAACATTTGAAATGACTAACTAGACCATGACTCATATAATAATGGAACAATAGCGTAAGTCTATTAAGAGTTATCATTAAATTGAGACAACGAAAGTGGAAGCGAAGGAATTACGAATAATAAAAATTATATTGGAATTTTTAATAAACGTTTATCACGATTTTACCTTACGATAAATCGACTTTCTTTTATTGGACTCGATTGTCGATTCTGTATATTATATCATAGCGTACGTGTCTGTTATCTACGATTGTAACAGTTTAGGAATTTTCATGGAGATGAGAAATTGTGAGATTTGCTAGTGCGATGCAATCGTTCAAATCATTCGTCTATTTTTAAAAACTTTTATATTTAAAATAATAATATTATGTCTATACTAATATTATAAAGATGAAAGACATGATTGTTTGTTTGTAATGGATAAACTCAAAATCTGCTAAACTATTTTTAAAAATTATTTCATTTATAGAAAGCTACATTATGAGCAAGTAACATAGTTTATATATTTTCAAATGTTTGTCTAATCAGGCAAAGCAAGGCCGAATCGCTAGTGACATACATTATTAAAATTTATATTAGGTTAGGCTCAAATTCTGAACCTACTTGTTTTACAATTGATCTATTTCAGTGTTAATTCACACAATTTCTAAATACAACCCATCGATTGTACAAAATATATTATAAAGATATGCAAAGAAAAGTTTTAGGAACCTATTAAGGTGGCCATTATAGACTTTCTCGGACACCATGATACAACATGTCAAAGCTGAAATAAATTTCTGGATACAGTAAAATCAAACAACCGCGACCGTACCATTAACCTTTAAATAAAACTGAGTTAAACTCATCAAAAGTTGAAGTGTAAGGGCGCACCCAGTAATTATTCTGTGAACCGCATACTTTGCAGCGAAACACACCACAAAAACTTTAAAGTGACCGAAAGATTCCGGTACTGGCATACACTTTCTCTGTATCCCATGGCCTAGTTGGACTTGGAGTGAATGCAACCCGTTCAGCAGGAACGCCCAAATATAAGAATGAAAGAATGATTAAAGTGGACCGATGGCCAGATCTGATTTCTAGCCAATTAACACTTACAAACTCGCTAATGGGTTTTCGAGATCCAGCGGAGGATAAAATATAAATGAGGCAAATAAACATACTCATGACTGTAACTTTTTTATATCACAAAGGTGGTAAACAATCATATAGCCCGTTTGATGGAAATCATTCACTTTAGTCTATGGACGCCTGTAATTGCTGATGCGGTTACAACAAATTTCAATTTCATCGTGCATATTTGGCTCTAAATATGCACGAAAAAATACCAAGTCTCGCAAAGTAATTCCTCCACTTCAAAATGTTGTATGGTCTTATGTAAAACCAAGTCATTTATTTTACTAAGTATCTATGGTAGCACTCATACAATACTTTGTTATAAAATGTTATCCATACATTTACCTATTAATATTTTTAGTGACCATATCAATATTAGACATCTTTATTCCTATAATAATTATAATGACTCATTCTATTCATTGTCATCATCATCATCATGTACAAAATAATTTCTTAGTGCTTTCAAACGCTGGTACTTTCTTTCTGTTTTTGTACTTGTTTACATTATTGTTGAATTTTGTTCCGGAGATTATATTAGATAGCTCTTATATGTAAAGAAACAACTTTTTCGCTTTAAATTATTAGTATCCATTAGAGATTAAAGCTATTACGCATCTTGTTCGTAATACGTAAAAAATCTGCTATAATTTTATCAATATAAACATAACATTTTTAATTTATTACATAACAAGATTAATAGCGAGTCCTTTGCAATCCGCTCTATTGTTCTATGAAAGCACATAATATACAAAAGCGAAACGTTCTCAAACTTTCCTTTTCAAATTCCTAAATTGAGGTTAAGGGATAAGCCCACCTCGCCTCTGCTGCGACCTCTCACCCTTGGACTTTCATTATGGCAACCGTTTTATTACTTTTACTAGGATTCTCACAGTTATAAAATATAGATATATACACAATGAAATAATTATGAGAGAAAAAAGGCAGATTTCCAAGCTAGCCGGAAATGGAATCTGGATGTTGCGTTAAATTTGTGTATGTATGACATTTGCATACATAACCGCAAAAATGACTAATACTGGCCATCTTATTTATTCTTTTGATCACTTCATTGCATTTAAATTATTTGAAACTTGTGGTAAATGAAATAAATAAAAGTTTGTATGTACTGTCACCTGTGTTTGGAACAATTTTTCAGTTGTTTTCTGAAAGAAAAACTAATCTTTGTATCATGTAGGCAGTCGACAATATCAATGTATATTTTTTTATATATAACAAACAATTTTGGTATTTTAAACAATTATTTATAGCTATATCCTGTAACTTTGCCCATGTGACTTCTAGATAGGTCATGTAGAAAAAGACAAGAAAATAATATATCACATTAATAATAATAATCAATACCTTTTCCTTTTCATGTGTATCGTAAGAGGCAACTAAAGGAACTTAATGCTCGAGGAATGAGCAATACCATCCCCCTTAAAACATTGCCGATGCCTAAAATTGTGGTTCCCAATCCGCCTGCCAATAGATGTAGGTGGCTCAGGATCATTCCTTATGGTAGTCTATGGGGGAGGATTATGTTCAGCAATGAACAGATCATGGCCGAGACGATGATTATAATGATTAAATACAAAAAGGTGCTCTTACATATCTGTTGACAACACAAAAACTAGAATAGTATTTACAGTTTGAATTGATAATAATTTATAAAGAATCTCGTGAGTACACAACGACAATGCACCGGCACGGTCCGCCCCCGATCTACTGGGAAACTGGGTCTGCGTTCGTAATACAATCTAGGTTCATTATGGGAACGCGTTGATAGGCTTCATGATTTGTTCAATTTAATATTATGCTAAAAAAACTGCGATTGAATGCGAGAATAAACCTTATTAATTACAAAAAGAAATATCAAAACTGGTTCAAATTTTGTGAAGATTTCACGTAACATACTAAAAACCTCATTTATTTGAAAGTTGCTTAGTAACGTACTTCATTTAGTCAGGCGATAGAATTGTAATATTAGGATTTTTTGGAAAAAAATTAACGGATTATACTTCATTTATATCTTTAGTATTTTGAATTTTCCAAAATTATCTTATTTTTACCTGTCTGAACTTTCTTAATTTTGTTGTCTAGTTTTTACAAATACTAAGTACTAAGTGTGATTATATTTAGAAAAATGTATTTTTATATTAATTGAAATTATGTAACTTTCTTGAGAAATATTTTATCATATTCCATTCACACGGTATGCAGATATACCTAATGATAGAATATTTATAATCTTGATAGATCTGTTATTACGATGTGTCAAAATATTGACATAACTATTATATATTTCATGTTAAATTATTCAAAATCATTTATTGACTTTCGCTTTTACTTATGCATATCTGCGTAATGTATCTCTTATCTTGATTTATTCATTGAAAGGAAGTATATAAATTGAGTATAAAATTTGCATTCTAAGCGATATTTTCGTTTACTTATTTTGTTAGAAAGTATTTAGGCTCATTTTACTTTTATCTGCATCGTGGGATAATAACTTTTAAGATTTTTTTGAGTAATTTTTTATCAAAATAATATTTATTTTAATTTTACTGAGGTATGTTAGTGTGGGGGAGGTTTACCATTCCATTGTCATCCATTAAATTAAACGGTATACGCTGTCACGGCATCAATGAGGGATGATAAGTGGAAATGAAAAGGCAGGTCAGTTAGCCCAACGTGATAAATACACTTAGAACTCACCACGATGGTTTCCAGGGGGACTACGTGGAAGTCGAACTAACAGGGTATATTGCTAGCAATGGCACTGGTAGTCAACGTTACTAACAACCCCTCCCCTAATAGGAGATTTTGCCATTAGTTTTCATGCTTAGCAGGCAGGTTGACAACCGCAGTTAAACTTTGCTGTATCATGTACCACTAAGTATATCGGATACTCGATCAATTATTGCAATAAGCTATTAAAGTCCGAATATTGGATCATTCTCATCACCGTAATTACAAAGTACAGTCGGAACTTTAAATTGACACACAAAATATTATAATTTATAATATTACAAGAAAATACAAAAGTGCCTCTTTGTAATAACTGTTAAGTATTGTGTGGGTCGAGCATTGTCCCTCGTGAGCACAGGCCCTAAAACTTTGCGCTCTTGCCTACTTTCTATTTTCTCACTTAAAAAGGTAATAAATAAGGTTGTAAACTATTTACCCATCCTCAGAAAGTATGTAAATAAATATATTATATGCAAACATGTATAGTCAAGTCCTAACATTGTAAACGTTCACTTTCCCCATAACGCTAAGTACTATTGTAAATCCAATATTCGTACTTTCATAACACCCGGATGGTAAAATGAGACGACTTACGTTTTTGTTTTTCTTTTTTCACAGAGGATGCGGCCGAGGCGCGGATTGGCTATAGGAGTTCTTCTCATATTACATATGGTGAGATTATTTACTGATATGCGTAGAACTTTCTCACCAATCCTAACATTGTTTCTGCTTAGCAACATGGAGCTTGAATTACAATAATAGGTCAGTCAAAACCATATTTATTGTAGAAAGTTAATAGAAAGATAAATACTTTTGTTTCCTTCGAAAGTTTACAAATTAGTACAGGATATTAGGTATTTTTTGATGAGTGATAATGGAATACAGGCTCCTCTGCGTTATCATTATACACTGACGAGGCACTAGTGAGGGATGATAGGTGATGTTGAAAGTAGGTCAGTTAATTTATCGTGACACATTCAAGAATTAACCACGGTAGTTTCCTGAGGAACCGCACGGAGGTCGACCCGATTGAGAATATCGCTAGCAATGGGGCTATTGCACCGCCTTATTATTGATCCTTTCCCTCCCGATATTAGGTATTAGGTACTTATTTGTGCCGTTACCCGGTTTATGATGTATAATATTCGTATTTTTTGCAGAGACTTCTTTTAATATGAAATCTATAACAATAATATATTTTAATAACTATATATATATATATATATATATATATATATATATATATATATATATATATATATATATATATATATATATATATCTACGACATCTGTCTATATTTATAAGAATATATGTGTATTGTATCATACATTCATGTAGGCTACAATACAATAGTTAATATAAACGCCAAAATCTAGACTTACCTATTTTATAAAAAGTATACTCGCTTTTCCTTGGCAATGAAGTAAAAATAAAAAAAAATAAAATAACAAATTCAACAGACGGGCGGTCACAAATTTATTAATTTATTGAAATCGAAATTAGTTTTTGAATGTCTTATAAAGTACCCACTAAATTCATTAAGAGCGTTCATAACAAAGCGTGGCAACTTCGTAATTATTTGTCAGTTTAAAAAAATTGTTAACTTTAAACTTTCGCGTTGTTGACACATATTTTAATTACAATATTGAGATTTAAAGTAAATAAAAAAATTGCAGGTAAACAGTACTTACATACTTGAGAGCCTACCATGAAATGTTTTCTGAAATTTCAGGCCCGAACGAAACACAAATTTGATGTAAAAATTACATAATACATACCGTATAAAAATATTAAAAATGTTAAAATATCGTTTCTTTGGACTTTAATGGTAGGATTTATGACGAAGTAAATTTTAAGCTCCATTTACTGAGCCAATTTCGGTATGAACGAAAATACGGAAATGAGTTCGAAATTTCGTAATTTTATATATTGGTAGACTCCTGCTTTTTTATTGTTGACGTTTGGATGTGGACACGTCATACTAATGTGTGACGCCGCTCACATTAGTATGTCGTGACCACGACGTGGTGCATTTCACGTCAAAATGTCGACAATAAAAAAGCAGGGACATGGGTACTATTTACCTGCAATTCTTTTCATTGCATTATGTCCCGATAGTCTGTTTAAAATTAGTAGTGTAGTATATTTAATGTTTCCAATTTATTATTCAAAAAGTTTTGTACTTACGAAATAAATCAGTCGATAACATTAAAAAAATATTCATTTATACTTTATTATACACGAAAATTACATTGTTATAACTTATTTTGAATAAAGATGTACAATGGGTAAGCTTAACTTTGTAAGAGTTCTTTTCTAGCAAATCTCGAGTGGAAAAATATTAATTACTAGCGGGCAGTGTGCGTATAATAAGAAGAGGGAACAATATGGTCGTTTCTACTAAGAAATAATAAATATATTTATAAATGTTAAATAGTTTTTAAAAATTGACAGATAAATACCACGTTGCCATACTTCGGTAAACAAAAATTATGAACGCTCCCAAAAATAAATGAAGACCATATATTTTTAAATTAGTTAAAATGAAATATTTTCTACATCCATAATTTTGTCTTTCTTAACATACTTACGTATTTACTTCTAGATTATAATATGCGTATTACCTCCCAAAGTGGGTGAACTTTGCTTTGTAAATTCGCATTTGCCTCAGGAGACAGTTCGCAAAGTTGGGTAAACGGTTTCTGAATATAAAATGACTTGTGAAACTTAATTCATGGCTAAGTTCAATTATACATATGTATATCAAACGAGGGCGATACAAACAAACAACAAATCTGTTCTGATTTGAGTTTGCATATGAGATTATTTATTTTAATATTAATAACAATACTGGATATTGGACTTGGCCGTGTGGTTATGGCATAGAATAGGCAACCCATTCGTTTCCTGTGGGTGTCGTAAGGACTGACTAAGAAAGGGCGAGGAATGGGCAGCATCGTCTTTCTTAAAACATTTCTAAAGCCTGATTGCGGTTGCCAATCCGCCTGCCAAGCGTGGCAACTACTGACAAAACCCCCCCAAGGGGAGGCTTATTTTCAGCAGTGGACAGTTAAAGGATGATATACGTTTAATCCTTATGTTGTTTTTGTATTCTAAACTTTGAAAAAACCCGGATAAGTGCGTTGGACTCGCACACAGAGCATACCTAATCTGTAAATAGGATTTTTGTGTTCGTTACGTAATAAATTCTATTGAATAAACATATAAGTACCTATGGTCATCTTTATACAATTTTAATATGAAATACCTAATTTATTGTTCTTGTGATTAGAGTATCCTTGCTTTGGGGTATTTATAAATTAATATTATGGTTAAAAAACCGGGCTGCATTATTAAATCTGTCTGTGAAGGTTGTTTAAATATTTATTTTATTTTTTTTAATTACGTTCAACGAATTTAATTAAAATTAGTTAAGTAAATAAAACATTATTCTAGATTTTCTATATAGGATTTTATGGTATTATTAATATTATTTACAACTTTTTCGTAATATCTAATAGAAAAAACATGGCAACATTGTATAGTACTTATTATTATTATATATATTGAGTAAAATTTCAAACCGCAAACGCTCTATCGATCTAATGCTCAAGCAGTTAACGAGAAATCGAATAAATATGCTTATCGGATAGTAAACTAATTGCGATTCAGATTTTACGCGTCATCGATAACGATTGTGATCGACTTCACATCACTAGATTGATAGGTGCATTTTTTATGGATTTACTATAGTAGTAAAAAATGTACTTTTACCGAACTTTTCTAGTTAAGTTATTTAGGCATTCCGGGTCTGGAAGATATTATCTCATGTTGCTGAGTTGATGATGGAAGCCATAGCGTTGTTTAACGATTAGGTGTTAAGGAATAATAAATAGTTCAATTTGCTGACAGAAGCTACTTAGTTAGTATTTTAGTAGGGTGATTATGAACGAATAATTATTTATCGATTATAAAATTTATTTTTAAAGCAATTTTAAAAAAGGATGAGGTCAATTCATCGGTTTTTTTCTTTTTTATTATTAATGTTTGTTACGTCAGAACTCCGCCACTACTAAACCGATTTGAAAAATTCTTTTGTTGATCGAAAGGGTTAAATCCTTAGGTTGGTCCCATACTAATTTGGTCAATATTGAAGTAGTCGTCGTCGTTGTCGTTCTTCTTCTTCTTCCATTTTATCCTTACTTCTTTACTAATATTATATTATAAATATGATATTGAGTTTGTTTGTTTGTTATCTCTTAGTGCCTTATTGGCTTAACTAATCAGTAATTACTATATAAGTCATATGGTATTAGATCCACCTCTTATATTATGTTTATTAAGGTTATATTATGTTTATTATTTTTTATCATAAATTATTTTTTATACTAAACATGTACCAGCCACGCGGGTGAAGCCGTAAGTAAAAGCTAGTGTTGTTATAAATACAAATAATATACTTATAATTTATATAAAATATAATTTATATATATACTTTTAATATTATTATTTATGTAACACAATGGGCATTGGAGTGTTTTTGTAATGAAGACTTAAAAATAATGTGAAATTATATTTGATATTCACAAAAAACTGCGACCAGTTTGATCGTGACAAAATTATGAAACCAAGAAGCGAAAATTGAAAAATAACTCGTAACAACACACACAAATAAAAAAAGGAACTAGAATTAAAAAAAGAAACCCTTTTTAAATTCCTAAAAAAATGTCAGCAAAAGTGTACATAGATCTCTCTCAATTTCAAACATTTATCGAGATAGGATATTCTGATCTGAGAGTAAACTAGATACGATTAAATTTCACGCGTCATCGATAACGATTGTGGTCGACACTAGATTGATATTTGTAATAGGAGCAATGAGTAACTAGTATATTAAAGTAACTATAGTGTATACAATATAATAGTGTCTTTGCTTTCCTGTCAATATTATAAATAAGAAAGTTTGTTACAACTTGGTACAATAACTTAGTGAAGCAGTCGGCTTTGTCTCGTCCTTCCTTCTTCCTCTACTATTTTACTAAGTAGTATACAACTTTATACCAAACTGTCAATTAGCTTTGTTGAATAATATTAATTCTGAAACCAGTCGAAGATCCTCGAATTTAATATATGAGTAAAGCTTATAAAATAATAACAAATGCTATTACTCCGTTAATGACTTTTGTACTGGTGATTAAAATAAATACTAGAATTAAAAATTATATTTGACGTATATATTACAGTTGATATTGTTGATTGTAAAATATATTTATTATTGTTATTCAATACTTGTAATATTAAATTTAATTTAATGATTTTTGTATGATCATACTTAATTTCAGATATAATGTATATTGTTTTTTGAATAAATGACTAATGAGGTCGATTCTGAAGTGCCATTCTTTAAATCTATCTCATCTCTAAACTTAAAGTTAAGGTTTATTTAATTGAATGCGCTAATCGCATTTAAAAAATATATTTGATAGCTCATACCTTGGGGTAGGCTATTCAAGATCGCTATACTATACTGTAAATGGATGATAATGGAATAGTAAATCTGCCTACGCTAAAGGTATACACTGGCGGGGTATCAGTGATAGATGATTGGTGAGGATGAAGGCAGATCAGGCTCATCGTGAAAAATCCAACAAGAATTAATCACAATGGTT